GAGAAAACATCTTAAAATGCATGATTTTATGTTTCATTTGATAATTCCTTGTTTTACAAGTCTAAAAAGTTATAAACAGGACATTAGTTGAAATACGTTCTCAAGAGAATCTACCGTCAAGAGAGTCTAATAGAAATCTGGTATTTCTTTTATTATTTGAAGTATTAATAATATTGTGTATTATTTATTTCTTCTCTTGTACATATATTTTGAATGATTAATTTATCCCTTGAATTTATAACCCTACACGTAATTTATTATTGAAACCTTAAATTTAGATTCTACATGGGGTACATATGATACAAGGATACCGCGAAATGTTGCACACTAAGGATTTTCAATTTCATGAAATTAGTCTTGTGGTCATTTTGTTTGTTTCTGTGACTTAATCATGGCGGCCAATTGCCTCAGTGTAAATCCACCATTGTCCATCTGCGCACCGGCCCCCCTCCTTTTGACAAACCCAAGGCATCACTATTGCCGCCGCCGCCACGACGCATCCACACCATAGCTCGGACTAGGAGAACTACCATCTCTTCAGCCGCCACGCCATGCATGACTTCGACTTCGAGCAATATTTGTTCAATACTATGAAATATAAATGTGTCATATTAGTAGGCTTTATATATCTAATGCTATTTAGAATCTTTTATTACAGTGTCTACATAGCATGCCTTTCATCTCTGTAAAAAACAAGAGAGAAAAACTAGACATTGTTTGAGTCTTGAAAATTAATCTAATCGATCGTTAATTTAATATTCAAAAAAGAATCAAATAATATCTACGTACAACTCGCACTAACAATTAATGTCCTTCAAGTTGGTGTACAAATATCGCACATGTGACATGCCCAACTAATTAGATGAATTGTTAAAAATTCTTGCTGAAAAATTCTTGTTGGGACAGCCTTCATAAGCCAATTAATGTTATCATCTTATCCTCAAGATTTTTATATGTGTGGATCAATTTCGATATACATTGGTCAAATGGGTTATAACCATATTAAAACGTTTATTAATCTTAAAGAATTCAATACATTGGTTAGGAGAGACCACAAAAGGAGGTAAAGATGCGCTAGCTTGTAGCTTGTACCACCTAACCATATTTATGCTTTATTAAGTTAAGAAGACAAATGTTATTATTCTCACGACGCAAAGTTGTCTTGCATAATTAGCCAAAGAAAAAAGTGTTAGAAGGTGATTATAATGGTGAGGTGCGAAAATGACAAGGTGCTTAAAGGTGATTGATTGTGATGTCCTGTACACTCGCCGTCCATTGTCTGCCACATTGTTCTGATCGTTGAAATACAAATAGATATTTCAGGCTACGCTTTCTATCATTTTCCATTCGGTGTACCACTACCATCCTCTTGTTCTAAACTCTTTTCCGCCTTAGTCTTAATAATCCTAAAGGATAAAACACAGCAGACCAAGGAGACAGGGCAAACGACAGTAGAATGACGATAGAAGTAATTTCCTACACAGAAAAAACAAAAATAAAAAGATCAAAAAGTTGAACAAATCAAGATGGCACTCCGGTTGGTGACTGTTGAAGACCGGCGGAGTTGAGCGTCTTTTTACGTTTCATCTCTGATCCTCTGCGCATCAATGAATGTCTACTGAACTGAAAGACGTTTCTAGCAAACTATCCCACCAAGTCCTTAGTAACAGAAAGGAAAATCCAATTCTCCCGTCGAAACCAAAAACTGATAATGAAATCTCTGTCAAATTCCCTACGCTTCATTCATTGTCCCTGATATACTGTTCCGCCATGAAGCTTGGTTTTTTGGACTATTTTTTGTAGAACTCCCTCAACAGTTGTGTCGAAGGCATCTTTGGCATCATTCCCCAACCCTTCGCTAGGAAAAGCATACACAAACCTGGGAATAAGCTCAATTACCTTGTCCCTCATCCTCTTGATATCTTCCTTCCTAAAACCCTCCAACACTCTTCTTACTGAAGTCCCATTTCTGACCTCTTTCCGGTCTATGAACACCGAATAGCTCTCCGGCTCGCCCGACAAGAACATCTCGTGCTGTCCCCGGAAACTGCCTTCCCAGAAAAACACCGGTATCGAACCGGACAACATGCAGTCGAACGTGGACTTCCTGGTATCCGAGTCACCCCTCGGCTGCAAGCAGAAGTCCGAGTGCAACAACGCTTCAAGAATCGTAGAAGAGCCATCGGAGCACGGGGTCTTGTCACAGTCCACGAGTTTGCACGCGTCCGCCTCGTTGCGACAATGATCCAATAGCAGAGTCCTAAAGTCGTTCTTGACCTTTCGACGCTTTGCTCCTACAAACGTGAATAGGCTCGTCCGGTTACGACTCCCCGCGAATTGCTGCCATTGCTCAATCTCAGGAGCGGACCTGGGATGGAATCCCGTAGGATACGGATAGCTGATTTCCAGGGGGTCCCACCGGTGTCGTTCAACTGTCAGCCGTAACATATTTTTCATCAAGGGCATGAGAAGAAACCTGGTACCCCAGTCGTCGTCGGTTTTCCGTCTGAAATCCCACGTCATCCTCCCCAGCACGAGAAAATGATCCGAGCCGTTGGATCGCTTCCAGTAAGGTTGCTCCTTAACCCACTCGAGGAATCTCTCGCAGGGATAATCGCGCTCTGATGCTGTGTAGTTGGTGAATAGATACTTGGAAACCGCTAGTCCAGCATAAAAGGGGACGTAGAAAGCCGTAGCGGATTCTGGCTCCATGGTTCTGCACTTGTAGTTTGACATCCGAGTGTGGTAGATGATCTCACCGGAGAACATGTCCGTCCACCACCATGATGGGGCGAGCTCCTGAGGGACAGTTCCCGCCAGGGTGGCAGCGGCGTTTGGGCCAAATCCATTGTTGGAGACCGCAGGGCATTTGGATTTCCAAGGATCTAAATCGTGACAATTGATCACTAGTTCCTTGTTAAAGATGGGAGGAAGGTCGTATGCGTAAACCTTTCCGTATTTGCATTGTTCATGGTTATCATCTTGATCAGAAGGAGAAGCAAGCTGGTGACCTTCGATGGCTTGTTCTAGTGGTACTTGTTTCGTATTGTTATCACCATCTTCATGATCAGGAGGAGAACCCAGCTGGTGACTAACGTCATCTTTTGGTTTGTTCCCGTCCTCAACAACTTCTTCCTGTGGTTGTTGTTTGGGTTGCTGTTGTTCTTGTACCACTACTTGTTCTTGTTGAATTTTATCATCATCAAGAGGAAGATCCAGCTGCTGAATGACCTGTGGCTGCTGCTGTTGTTCTTGTTGTAGATGGGTGGGCGGATATTGCTCATGTATCGGAGGAGGACTAGGACCACCACGAGTGGTGAGGAGGACTAGGAGGATAGAAAACTGGAAAAGAATGATCATAAGAAGCCATGCACAGTGGTAGAAAGAAACATAAGATTTCACCGATCTGAAAGTGTTTTTCAAATTAATGGTGGTCTTCTTCATAGGGTGACTGTCAAGAATATTATGGCCTTTAACCGTTGATGAGGATTTGGAAAAGGGATTCATTCTGCCCGCCCCCGATCAATTAGAGTGGCTTGGCTTGATCTCTAGTACTGTTGCAGATGTATACATATGCAGGGATGCCCGAATATAATCTTTCTTTGCTTCATGTGTTAATTATATGTAGCTGGGTAAAGCACTACAACTTCAATCATCATGATGTAGGGTCACTTCTTGTTAGATTTTGTTTTTAACAACCTTTTGCTGTTAGAATATTTGTCCTTACATATTGTTTTATTTGTGTGCGTAATGTACAGGAGTACATAACTATTTTAAAATTGTATAGTATATTTTAAATCTTCAAAGCCAATTAATCATAAACAGGTACGTGCTTTGCTAGGAATCTCTTTTGTTTAGGGGTGGCAGCAGTCAAGGTAAGGTCCGATATCCGAAGGTTAATCCAATTAAACGATTGAGGGGTAATCCATTAAGATTTGATATTGACGAGCGCTTGACAACAAACAATCGGACAGGATTTGATAAGAGAACCCTAGGAACTCAATGTATACATACATATATATATATATATATATATATATATATATATATATATACATAAACGTAAACACACATATACGTATACGTAAAAACACATGCCTCAACGTTATAGTCCAATGAAATATAATTTTAACTCTATTGAAATTTAAAGTAATGTGTTAATTTAACATGTATATATGAATTATAGTTTGATGATAATTAATACCCTTTTTTTGAATTATTTAGATTAACGGGTAAAGGGTATCCAATCTATAATCCAAACCAGAAAGCAAGAGGGATTGATAATAATGGAGTTAAAACTCTAGGATTACACGATAGAACTTGACAAATGATTTAGACATGATTTGATAAAAAAAAAAAAAAAAAAAATTAGAGGGCACCTAACCCGCTCCATTCTTACTTTCGTTAGTCTTCACCGACAATTTCAGCACACGGAATGTAAATGGTTGACATTGCTGAGTTTAGCTGAAATCCTACGCCACCGAAAAAAGGGAGAAAGGAAAAAAAAATGGGAGAAAAAGAAAGCTGTATCGTTTCATTTCCATCCAGTAGCTAATATTTGAGTGATGCAAGTTCGGGCCGTGTCATGCGTTTGTTTACTTGTCAAATGAACGATGCACAATATGGACAACATGAAAATGCTAAAGTCAGTTGCTTTCAATATTGGCTGGCTTAGATTTTCCTTTCTGTAGTAATCAAATACAGACTGAAGAATTTCGCTGGAGATGCGTAGCAGCTGAACTGGCAACGTCACAAATCAAGACCACCGAATCTCCCATCAAAGCTTTATGCACGAAATCAACGGCACTGGGAAAAAACGAGGAAGGATTCATAGTTGGGAGATTTTTGTTTTCATATTCTCAAAGGAGTGACCAATCGACCTCTAATCTTCTTTCCCATTTGAAAATGGCACGCGTTGCTGAGTAGGTTATGAATGAATACGTGTTCAATCAATCTAGAAACTAATGAAGGATTTAAAGGTATTGGAAGAAACTTGAGAATTGTTGAAAAAAAATATCTATCCCTTAAAAGCGAGTGTGATGTCTCTCATACATCCTTTTCTAAAATGGTTACAAATTCACTTTGAAAAAAGAGACAAAAAAATAAGTAATTGAACAAAACAATCAAAGTATGTATGGGAGAAAAAGAAGAAAAAATAGAGCCGTGAGTTGCTGAGTGCAACCCCCCCCCCCCCGGCGGCGGGGGTCGTTGTCGTCCGTAGCCATCGACTTACTCTGGGAACGTGATCTCATTCATGATACGGGTCCCGACCCGTATGGATTTTGGCAGTTTTTACTATTCTTCTTAGCACTTCCTCCACGCCTATGTCGAAGGCATCTTTGAGATTGCCCAACCCTCCCTCCGCAGCTGGAAAAGCGTACGAAATCCTCGGGATCATGTCAATCACTTTCTCCCTCATCCTCTTGACGTCTTCCCTGCTGTATCCCTCCAACACTTTCCTTATCGAAGTCCCGTTCCTCACTTTATTCCGGTGGATGAAGACCGAAAAGGACTCGGGTTGATCAGACATGTACAGCTCGTACTGGCCCCCAATGGTTCCCTCCCAGAAAAAAACGGGTATGGAGCCGGCCAGCATGCAGTCGAACGTGGACCTCCTGGTGACCGAGTCCCCCCTGGGCTGCAGACAAAAGTCCGAGTCCAGAAAGGCCTCCAGGACCGAGGAAGCGCCGTCCAAGCATGGGGTCTTGGCACAGTCCACAGCTTTGCACGAATCCGACTCCTCGTAACACTGATCCAGCAACAAAGCCCTGAAATCGTTCTTGATATACCCGCGTTTTCCCCCAACAAACGTGAAGAGGCTCGACCGTTTACGACTCCGAACAAATTCCTGCCACTGCCCAACTTCCGAGGTGGTCCGGGGATGGAATCCGGAGGGATAGGGTACGCTGACTTCCAGTGGGTCCCCAAGGCTCTTTTCTATCGTTAAGCGGAACATTTGTCTCATGAGGGGCATGAGGAGGAAGCTAGTCCCCCAGTCTCCATCGCGGGCCCGTCTAAAATCCCACGAACTACGCCCCAGCATAAGAAAATGATCCGAACCGTTGGATCTCTTCCACTGCGGTTGGCCCTTGATCCACCGGAGCAAATTCTGGCACGGAGCATCGCGCTCTTTCGCAGTGTAGTTTGTGAACAGATACTTGGAAACCGCCAGCCCAGCGTAAAAGGGCACGTAGAATGCCGCAGCCGATTCTGGCTCCATGGTTCTGCACCTGTAGGTGGAAATCCGAGCGTGAAAGATAATCTCGCCGGCGAAAAGGTCGGTCCAGTACCAAGCATGAGCGAGCTCTCGCGGGACCGTGCCGGCGAGCGTAGTGGCGTTTGGTCCGAACCCGTCGTTGGACACCGCCGCGCACTGGGATCTCCGGGGGTCTAAATCCTGGCAATTCTCCAGCAGTTTCTTGTTGAAAATTGGAGGAAGGTCGTATACATAAACCCTTCCATACTTGCATTGTGCTCGGTCATCGGGATGCTGGGGAGGAACCAGCAGCTGTTGACTAACCTGTTCCGGCGGCGTCCCCTGGAGCTGGGGACGACGGACGGGCGACAATCGGTCGGCGGCTGTGGGAGGACTGGGAGCACGAGTGGTGGCAGTGAAGGCTAGGAAGATACAAAATTCCAAGAGAAAAAGAATGAGGGCCCATGCGAATTGGTGGAAAGAAACATGGGAGCGGACAAAATTAAACGCCTTCTTGAAATCGAACGCAGTAATAGTACGCTTGGGATTCCCATGGACACCGCGGTCCTTAACTTGTGACGAGGAATTGGAAAGGGGAAGCATTCTGCCCCGACTCTGATCTGAAGTGGTGGCTTTGGTCCTCTCTTTTGGCCTTCGTCTCGTCTTGGGAGTGCAAATTGCATATGCGTATGCTCGTGTTAGTTTGTTAAAACGTTAATCTCAACCGACGAGACTAATTCTAGCGCAAACACCATCAAACCGAGCGTTGTCGGATGAATTAGAGAATGATACAAGTCTGTCTGCAACAACAGCAACTAGGGTCAATATTTGTGGATTGCGTATAAAATTTGTGTTTGTACTGGGCATCGTATTACTATGTGCTTGCACCAATCGATTGTCCCCTTCATCTTCACTGTCGAATCGCGAGGGATTGACATTTGTCACAAAATTACACCGTTTAGTTTAGGCGAAAGCAGGAAGCCACTGGCTGGAACGAGGCATCTTCTCGCCTCCTTTATAAAAGAACAACAAAGACGTTCGATATGAATTGCTTCCTTTTATTTTATTCTTTCCCCCAATGATAACCCGGTTGAGCAAAATAAATCAAGCTTCCAGAAATTTGTTTTATTCGTATTTTAGTAGTTTCTTTAGTGTCATGCTTTTAGTAATTTTTTTAGTTGAGTAATTGATATTTTATTAAACGGTTACTCGTGTGGTAATTTCTAATTGTTCAAGCATTGTCAGCCATAGATAGGCGGCTACTTGTTAAATACTATATAAATTACCAACTTGTTAGTTTCTTATTCTTCTTTCGTTTGAGATATTAAAGAAATTATTGTCAGTAATTACGTTTATTCATCTCTTCTCTCCCATGTATTTTATTTTCTCCCATTAATTCTACAGCCTTGCACGTTAATATTATTAGAACTCATAAAAAATGTCATGCTAGGCATCAACTATATATTGATGAGTTGAGTTCTTCACTCAGGGAGCTGCTGACAAATGAGTGAAAATGAATATTAAAGAAAGAAAAGAACCAAAAAAAATGAATTCAATGATTTGAAAGAGAGAATGCAAAAAAGACTATCCTTTCCCTTATATTAAAAAACAAAAAAGGGCAATGACTATCCCCTGTCTTAATCGCGTACAATTTGGTTGTCCCTTGTTTCTTTTGTATGGAAAAGTCAAGTTGTTGCCAATTTCCAGATTCTCTATTTCCGAATACAGTTGGATTTCGATTTCCCGGAAATATGATGTCGTGTTGCCCTAAGAACTTGTGATTTACTCTTTATCATCAAGTAATAATTTAGTTACACATCTTTTAACACCTAATATAATATGCCACCTACCAGACATTAATGGAACATGTGAAGAATCACAGGGCAAACAGATAGTCTGTAATGGATGGAAAAAGATGTGTAATTAGATTAAGTGCTAAGATGTTTGTCAAGTCAACAACAAATGAGTTATGGTTGAAAAGAACATGTATGATTAGATTAAGTGCTAAAATGCTTGTCAAGTCAACAACAAATGAGTTACTTCTTGCACCGAAGCTGATCAAGACAGCCATTAGTACTCCCCCCCCCCCCCCCCACCAAACAAAAAAAAAATCCTCTAGCAATAGAACCAACACATTCTTTAGAAAATCAACAAATCATTTACAGCTAGAATCTGTGACGTTTAATAGAAGGAAGTGTTTCGGCCTTTATTCCCATGAGTGGATGCATGGGTGATCAATTAGCATCCATTGCTAATCGATTGCCTTTAATGAACATTTTTCTTATAATGGACGTGTATGTAAACTGAGGGTCGCACTGATCAGATAACTGTAGATCATGATCAGTGATTTTTATAACGTAGTGCACTGGAATTTCACGATTGTGAAAAAATTGCTATAGATGATACAAATCCAAGTCGCTGAACGGTATTGGTGTTTCCGATAGAGAAGTTTCCGATAGAGAAGGGAACAAACAATCTTTAAAGAACAGTTTAGAGAAAGAAGGAAAAAAAAAAAAACAGCACTATAAACGATGGAAAAAATATGAATGTCTCCTTGAAATTATCTCTTTGGTATATGTGGCTGTAGCTGACTAGCTGTGGCTGGCCAATTGCGGCAACTGTTTCTGCGAAATGAAATCCAGGAATTATACCCAAATACTACTCCTATACCAATGATTTTCTTGCTTCCTCCCTTTCGATTAACTCTTGCAAGAAGTCATTCCACGTGTCAATGGGTCCAGGCAAACACCAATGCACGCAATCATTAGCCATTTTCTCATTTGGCCAGTGGCCATATTTACTTGGGTGACCATCCGGTCTTAGCAACATGGGCTGTGTTGCATCTAGCAACCTAAATTTCAAACCTCTCTTGCTTCCTTCTTCTTGTGCGATTCTGAGTTCCCGCTGTTGAATCTCGTACATTTCTACCATGTAGTCCTCCAAGACAGCCTCATTCCTCTTATAAGGCATCGTTCTCACACAGTCTCCACCTTTGTCCCAAGATCCACCTTCGAAGTGTGACGGGGTAATGGTCCTGAGGAATGTCACGCCCTTAAAATTTGCTAAGCTGTTAATGGCTCTGAAAGCAGTTCTGAAAGCTCTTTCATAGCTAAAGTTCATTCTCAAGTGAGCAACATTGTCCAGTTGACAGGCGAGGCAGCCAATCAGAGTGCGATTTTCATAGAAAATGGTTGGCCGGAAGAACCATTGGCCAGCTGAAATAACAATGTAGTCGTACCCTTCAACCTTTGTTGTCCAGTCCTCGTCAAACTCATCTAGATATAGATTGAAGGGGCGGGTGACGTCGTTGGGATCAGTTTTTTCTGACCTTACCAGATACGGAGCTGAAAAGATGGAAATATTGAAGTTATAATCCTTGTATACCCAATGCTGGTTCTCATCATTCCCAGTAGAAACATCCAGAGGATCAAGAACCTGGATATACACGAAAAGATGTTTAATCCCAACTTCCACAGAGCATAAACTAATGATGTTTTCCAGTTGGTTGGTTGATTAGCCAGGTATTTTCTTTGGGTTGAATTGTGTGAATGATACATTCTCAATGTTTACTCTGTCTCAGTCTTGGTAGAAGAAATCAATTCGAGCTTTTACTAGAAACAATCTGCCATCTAGACGATAGCCATCATCATCTCGAAAGTGCGTATTTCCTATTTACCATATTAGATGTAAAAAGAGATTATATAATCTTTCCGTTTCTTTTTGATATATAATCAGAGTTATTAAACTTAGAATACTGAAGTGGATGGTCGACATTTCTAGATCCTGCCTTGCTAGCCTGACCCAGATTTGTAATTCAGATCATTTACGCAGGTGGTTCATTACAGCTCCTAGATGTAATCCTGACAAAATTAAGAAGAAAGATCCATGGACTACGGCAGCCAAATGTCTTGTATGGATAAGCTTCTAAAATGTCAGAAGCCAGAAAAGGGATGCTAGCCAAGTCACTATATGTGATTTTACTAGAAGATCCTAAACTCCTCAGCCATTCAATTTGTTTCAAAAACCCAAAATTAACCGGCAACTGCCTATCAAAGCCGCAACTTCCCAAGGAAATGCAATAAATCTTCAACAGTAGGTGCTGATTACCTTAACCGTTTTCACCGAACCAAAGGAATGCGACGAATATTCACTTTGAAGTCTTAATTAAACCGTATTGAAGCATTCAAAACCATTTGGGTGCCAGAACATGAGACATCGTCACCTGACAAGGATTAGGGACAACTACTAGGCCAAATGGACTTTAAATTCTAATGACCCCTTTCCGTTGAGATTAGCAGAAATGGCGACAGAAAAAGTTCTACTCATACTGAAAACAGTGAGGACCATTGGTTAAATAAAGACTAATTAAGAAGATCAGAGATCGTAATAGTGAACAGTTTGGGGAGGACTTAATTACCCTGGACAAGAGACAGATCAATGACTGCATATGGTTCCTTGCGACAGAGTCTCCAATAAAGGCAATGGACTTTCCTCGGACCAGCTCCAAGAAATGGTTGGGATCGAAGATTGGCAGCACGCACCCGTCTGGTTTCCACCTCCATTTCAAGAAACCCGTGTCGGGTCTTGCGTATTTCAAGCAATTCTGATGGTCTTGAATCCTATAACAGGTGGCGTTGGTATAATATGGCGCCTCTGGGTTGGGAACCCATTCCCCTGAAAACAAATCACAGTAGTTTTCTTGAGTAGTACCTGTTGGATTCTGGGAATTTGTCCTGTTGTAACTATGATCAATCTGAGCAGGAGAGCTTGGGCTTGGAATTGATGAGGACGTGGTGCTGCCGGCAGCTGCTGTTTCTTGTGCTGCTTTTTGGCTTCCGGGCTCATCGCCGCCTAGAATTTCTTTGGACTTCGTTGTATCATTAGATTCCGGCCATTCGGGATCTTTAGGCCTCCTTATCGTTGACTCCTCGAGAGAAGGGGTTGCTTCAGATATTTCACCGAGCTTGTACCAGAATGAAGGAGGAGAATACACAGAAATGACAAGAGACAAAAGAATAGTTATGGCGATGAGGAAAGTGGCTACTTTAGGTATCCTTCTTAGCTTTAGCTGTAAGGAAAGCTCACCGGCTTGGCGTTTCATAACTTCAATGACGATAACACAACAGGAGGGGGGAAAATAAACGGTGCGACTCAACTTTTCCAAATATTGACTTTTCCTTTCCCCAATAAAGAGAAGGATTGGGAACAGAAGGAAGGCTTTGCGGCTTTTAGTTTTGGAGCTTCTTCTGGGTTTAAGTTTGTAAAAGCCGTAACTCTAACTTGGTTAGAAAAGGTCGAGAGGGGAACAGAAGGAAGGCTGCAGCAGTACAGGGGATATAAGGAATACTTACGAACTTCAATCTGCTCAAAAAAAAATACGAACTTCAACGAGACAGCACCACTAAAATTAAAGGCCTTCACTCGTACATGCTACAAAAGCAACAATTTGTCTTGCCATATATTAAATCAAGCCTAATAATTATAGTAGTTTCTATATTATATTATTGTTTAGCAGGTTTTAGGTCAAATTAAGTTTTTAATAATTTTATTATTTAGTAATTGAGTATTATACTAAGTAATTACTTACTTATTAAATTTGTTTCTTATTTATCAATTCATGTTGAATATATATATGTATATATATAATGTGTTAAAGTATTGTTTTCAGTTGAAAAGAGCAAAAGAGTTTTGATTGTTGTAAAGATATTTATTTATGTCGAGATCATGATTAATAAACTTCTCCGAGAGAGGAAGTATTGAGTTGAGTGGTAAATAGAAAAAAAAAACTATTTTCTCACATATGTTTATATGCATTAAATATCCTCTGCCGCTGCAAGAACAGACATGTTGAAACTTGAAACTCAAAACCATCCCCGTTTAGTCAAAGATGAAATTAGTGTGGCCATTTAATCCGGGGTTCCCAAGTACTACTCCAGCTTAAAATATGACTGCAAGTAAATACTACTACTACTAATAAAATTTTTGTCTACTTACTGCATACACATATTATTTGCCTGGCCGGCTCAAAAGTTAAACCCGCAGGATTCAAGAATGGAAACAAAAAATTTATAATTTTAGTGCAGCGTATCAAAGAATGGTTGTGCAGCATATAATTT